AAGAAGATAAAAGCTACTCTTTCAGCTACCTGAGGAGCTTCCTACCAGTATGTTGGGTTTCTACAGTGAAGAAAATAACACTCTTCTTCCCCCTTTTTTATGACTGGTGTATTTTAATTTAGCTGGAGGTGAATGGCAGTCTTATTCCTTTTCACATGACACTACTGCTACTTTTTCTGTGTMCTAAAGTTCTTCATTCCTCAGCATACTTTATGACATCAAGTGAGAAAAATTTAATCATGCCATCTTGTACTGAGTCACCCAGGGACTGCTGCAGGTTGTYTCTCTCCTTTCTGAATTACAATCTTTGCTCACATTCACAAAGAAACTGGATTTGTCACTGCAAAGAGTCATTTTGAACAGATCTGATATCTGCTTCTTGTGCTGAACAGCTTTTCCTAGTGTTGAAAACCATGTCATTTGTTTCACTTGCATGTAAAGTGATATGACACTGCCACTGATCAAAGAACCACCTGAGAGACTGGAAGAGGAGGCTGATCCGGGAATTACTGCTACTTTATTGCCCCTGTGAACAGTCTGAGGATCACTTGGAAAGGCTGAGARAGGTGACAAACCACTTGAAGCTGCCTGGCTTCTTCAGCATACAGTTTCTGTAGCTAAGCTACTTTCACCTCCCACTTCCAAATGTCAACAAACATGAACCTGTCAGCAGAACCCCTCCTTGCAGGAACAATCCCTCCCAGCTCTGACTCAAGGCTGGTAGCAACAGGAAACCAGTCTGAGCTAAGGCTGTTGTAACTTCTAAGCTTCTTTAATGATTCAGCTAATTTTTGGTTTTTTGTTTTCCTCAAACAATTTAATATTCTCTGTCCGGATTCGGTAGATCACGCAGCCCGATGCTACAAACTTCTTGTGGCATGGCCAACTTGCTGTCATTCTGCAGACTTGCCAGATTAGGGCTGACTTACCCTGCCAACTAGACTCTTAACCTGCCACTGAAGACTTTGGTCCTAAGACATCTCGAAAACTCACTGCTTTGATTAGACACATAATGTGACCATTTCGGTTGAGCTCACGAGCTCAGCTCGCCCCTGGCACAGAAACACGAAACGCCTTTCTCGGTCACCCACGAAATACCAAGCCCACCTTTGCCAAGGCGTGGCTCCTGGGGCCAAACGTGGGTGTACGAGAAGCAACGAGAAATTCTTCCCTGGTACACCCGGAGCGGAGACTCAAAAAAAACCAAAACAAACAAAAAAAAACCCCCAAAAAACAAACAAAAAAAACCCCAAAAAACAAAAAACC